CCTACCCTGGAACATAAATCGCATACGGGGGTAAAGATTCTCAGTCTGAATTTGTATGGGATTTGAGCTGGATATGAGCTATTTTGGGATGGGCGTGGCTCCTGGGAGTGGCGTGAGTGGTTTAAGAGGTCGAAACTTGGTTTTTTTTGATGTTTCGGGATAGGTAGTACCCATTTTTATACTAAAACATGGGCCACCTACCCTGGAACATAAATCGCATACGGGGGTAAAGATTTTTAAGTCTGGATTTTAGCTGGATTTCAGTAATTTTGGGATGGGCGTGGCTCCTGGGAGTGGCCTGAGTGGGTTGAGAGGTCGAAACTTGGTTTTTATGATGGTTTGGGATAGGCAGTACCCATTTTTATACTAGAACATGGGCCACCTTCCCCGGAACATAAATTGCATACGGGGGTAAAGATTCTCAGTCTGAATTTGTATAGGATTTCAGCTGGATTTCAGCTATTTTGGGATGGGCGTGGCTCCTGGGAGTGGCCTGAGTGGTTTGAGAGGTCGAAACTTCGTTTTTATGATGGTTTGGGATAGGCAGTACCCATTTTTATACTAAAACATGGGCCACCTACCCCGGAACATAAATCGCATACGGGGGTAAAGATTCTCAGTCTGAATTTGTATGGGATTTGAGCTGGATTTGAGCTATTTTAGGATGGGCGTGGCTCCTGGGAGTGGCCTGAGTGGTTTGAGAGGTCGAAACTTGGTTTTTATGATGTTTCGGGATAGGTAGTACCCATTTTTATACTAAAACATGGGCCACCTACCCCGGAACATAAATCGCATACGGGGGTAAAGATTCTCAGTCTGAATTTGTATAGGATTTCAGCTGGATTTCAGCTATTTTGGGATGGGCGTGGCTCCTGGGAGTGGCCTGAGTGGTTTGAGAGGTCGAAACTTGGTTTTTATGATGGTTTGGGATAGGCAGTACCCATTTTTATACTAAAACATGGGCCACCTACCCCGGAACATAAATCGCATACGGGGGTAAAGATTTTAAAGTCTGGATTTTAGCTGGATTTCAGTAATTTTGGGATGGGCGTGGCTCCTGGGAGTGGCCTGAGTGGTTTGAGAGGTCGAAACTTGGTTTTTATGATGGTTTGGGATAGGTTGTACCCATTTTTATACCAAAATATGGGCCACCTACCCCGGAACATAAATTGCATACGGGGGTAAAGATTCTCAGTCTGAATTTGTATGGGATTTGACCAGGATTTCAGCTATTTTGTGATGGGCGTGGCCCCTGGGAGTGGCCTGAGTGGTTTGAGAGGTCGAAACTTGGTTTTTCTGATGGTTTGGGATAGGTAGTACCCATTTTTATAGTAAAACATGGGCCACCTACCCTGGAACATAAATCGCATACGGGGGTAAAGATTTTTAAGTCTGGATTTTAGCTGGATTTCAGTAATTTTGGGATGGGCGTGGCTCCTGGGAGTGGTTTGAGTGGGTTGAGAGGTCGAAACTTGGTTTTTATGATGGTTTGGGATAGGCAGTACCCATTTTTATACTAGAACATGGGCCACCTACCCTGGAACATAAATCGCATACGGGGGTAAAGATTCTCAGTCTGAATTTGTATAGGATTTCAGCTGGATTTCAGCTATTTTGGGATGGGCGTGGCTCCTGGGAGTGGCCTGAGTGGTTTGAGAGGTCGAAACTTGGTTTTTATGATGGTTTGGGATAGGCAGTACCCATTTTTATACTAAAACATGGGCCACCTACCCCGGAACATAAATCGCATACGGGGGTAAAGATTTTAAAGTCTGGATTTTAGCTGGATTTCAGTAATTTTGGGATGGGCGTGGCTCCTTGGAGTGGCCTGAGTGGGTTGAGAGGTCGAAACTTGGTTTTTATGATGTTTTGGGATAGGTAGTACCCATTTTTATACTAAAACATGGGCCACCTACCCTGGAACATAAATCGCATACGGGGGTAAAGATTCTCAGTCTGAATTTGTATAGGATTTCAGCTGGATTTCAGCTATTTTGGGATGGGCGTGGCTCCTGGGAGTGGCCTGAGTGGTTTGAGAGGTCGAAACTTGGTTTTATGATGGTTTGGGATAGGCAGTACCCATTTTTATACTAAAACATGGGCCACCTACCCCGGAACATTAATCGCATACGGGGGTAAAGATTTTAAAGTCTGGATTTTAGCTGGATTTCAGTAATTTTGGGATGGGCGTGGCTCCTTGGAGTGGCCTGAGTGGGTTGAGAGGTCGAAACTTGGTTTTTATGATGGTTTGGGATAGGCAGTACCCATTTTTATACTAGAACATGGGCCACCTACCCCGGAACATAAATCGCATACGGGGGTAAAGATTCTCAGTCTGAATTTGTATGGGATTTGAGCTGGATTTGAGCTATTTTGGGATGGGCGTGGCTCCTGGGAGTGGCCTGAGTGGTTTGAGAGGTCGAAACTTGGTTTTTATGATGGTTTGGGATAGGTAGTACCCATTTTTATACTAAAACATGGGCCACCTACCCCGGAACATAAATCGCATACGGGGGTAAAGATTCTTAGTCTGGATTTTTATGTATGGGATTTGACCTGGATTTCAGCTATTTTGGGTTATGTGTGGCCCCTGGGAGTGGCCTGAGTGGGTTGAGAGAACAAAACTTGGTTTTTATGATGGTTTGGGATAGGTACTAGCTATTCAACCACTAAAACATCTGTCTACTACCCCGGAACACAAATCACATACAGGGCCGAGTAAAGATTTTTGACTTGAATTATAGTTTTTCTGGGGTCGGTGCGGCCCTTGGATGTGGTTCCAAGTTGGGTTCAAGGTGTTATTTAGTTATTCATATCATAGTGTCTATAAATATACGAGCAGTTTATTTTGACTTTTGAAGGGTTACCGTCATAAATTCTACAAATATAATTATTTAAACGTACGTGCGGCGCGCAAATCGCATACAAAATCGCATACACATTTCAGGGAAACGTCTTCTGGGGGACTTTGGTTAGAGCAAGATTATAAAAAGCGGTGCACCTTGTAGCGCGATGCGTTACTGTGCCGCGCCGCGCACTCAATGAGGCTTCTCGCAGCTACTGTGCCGCGCCGCGCTGCCATGAATTGACATCGTCAATTAACGGTGCACCATGCACGCTGCTTCGATTTCGTTGTAGGTTTACAACCTACCAGTACCAGGACGCGCGCCGAGTTGGCAGTTGGACTCGTCGACGGTCCTGTTCCAATATATGGAACAGATATTTTACGAGTATCACCCGTTAACGATTTCGAAGAAATTTAGAAGAGTTATATCATCCGTCAAGCATTATTATGCTTTTTTCGATAGCTACGCGCCGGCCGAGATAGTAGGGGGTGCACCATAAAAATAAACTTGCTCGGATTTTAAAAATTTTTGTTCCATTGTTTTCTAGAGACTGTGAGAATTTTACAGTACCAAATTTGTCATACCTTTTTGGAAAGATCAGTGAGTTTCGCCTAGGTGCCATATTTGATGGTGCGCGGCTTTTGGAGCAAAATTAGCTGTAAAAGTTGCGTAATTTTACTAAATTTGACCAAATTCGTTGATTTTTGTCGTATTATTTGGATTTATGTTCAGTTCCTTGAATGAGATCATTCTGAAAATTGGCGACGACCTTCCAATAGGGCTTTCACAACTGTCCGAAAAATTTGGTGGATATCGGAGTTGATATAGTGATCAAAATGGGGCAAAATACGCTGCTTTTAGCTGTAACATAATGTCTGATGGTTGGATATGCTTTAAACTTTTCGGACACTTTCCTTGTAAGTCTATGAGTTAGCTTACCAATTTTTGTTGCAATCGGAGGTCGGGAAGGATACTTAATATCTATTTGTTTGAAGAAAATTGTGCTGGCCGAAATTAGCGCTTAAAAACCATCTTACAGTCGGCACGCGCGGCTCACTGTCGATGGCGCACTACCTAGAGATAGGGCCATGCAACGCTGGCAAATCCAAAACCCGACATTCGAAGTCAAGCGCTCCCACTAAATCGCTCGCCCAAATTTTACGAAAATTCTCGTGAAAAGGCTCTTATAAAGGTAAAAAAGTAATCATGTTCAATGTTCGGTGTATTTTTGATTCACGATGTCCAGATGTCAATCCTTCGTATTTCGCCGATTTGTTAATTGACGATGTCAATTCATGGCAGCTCGGCGCGGCACAGTAGCGCATCTCGCCGATCTAGCTGTGAGAAGCCTCATTGAGTGCGCGGCGCGGCACAGTAACGCATCGCGCTACAAGCCGATTTGCATCTGTGGTACTGGTTGCGAGAAGCATTATTGGATGCGCGGCCCAGTAGCGCATCGCGCTACAAGGTGTATTTTTGGACGCTGATTCCGAATCTCTCTCTCTCTGTTCTGGTCAACGGTTTCTGGCCTCTTACATAAAGATGGAGGCCTTCTCACCGTGCCCACAGAAATAATTCCGAATCACCCCCACTATGACGTGGGGTAAAAATGCTTCCCTGGAAAGTTATGGGCAAAAAATTGTTTTGGTCACGTGACAGGCTATTAACGGGTTATACTCGTAAAATATCTGTTCCATATATTGGACCGTCGACGAGTACAACTCGGCGCGCGTCCTGGTAGGTTGTAAACCTACAAGACAGGCTAGTAAAACTTAAAAGACGAATGTGATTGTATAGGGCTTGGGTTAGGGTTGTGGATGGCTTTGGGGTTGTGGTTAGGGTTGGGATTAGGGTTTATTTTCGGCTGCAAAGCCATACAAAACCATACAAAACAAGGTCACGTGATAATTTTTGGGCGAACGAATAACAAATAAGTAAGAGCCGAAGTCACGACGATTCAGAAGTTCCTGAATAGAGCATAGGTGGTCTATGTTAAAATGTTGTTTCCCGTTGAACATCACGAGCTCAATATTATATATTAATGATTTGAACGTCTCAATTTGTAGCAATTACACTGAACCTGACCATTGATGACGGGTACATCAGGGTGTCATAATTATTGAATATCAGTGAGAACACAGGAAAACGCTAGTCTATTGCTCAACAAACAGTAAAAATTTAAGAAACTAGTTGAAAATAAGAGTAATAATTTATCGGGGAAAATGTCTGAAAATGGTGCTTTGAGAGTACGCAATGGGAGTTAATTCCCAATTCCACTGCTGAGGTGTGACCACATATTTTGACATGTGCGCGGCTCAAAAACGTGCAAGGGCTGATGAGTCGCGCATCACCACATACTACGAGTCCCTTTTGACGCCGTTCTTTCGTCAAAATATCCGGTCACACCGAGGTGACGAGAAGTTAATCAAAGTAGCATTTTCAGAGCACATACCAGGTGGGTAAGTGGTTGTTTCACTTGACTGCATAATTCAACAATTAAAGGTAAACATAATGGGGTCGTTCACATATTTCATAATCCCCCTCCCCCCTTCTTAATCAGTATTACACATAGTTATTGTGTAAAAATTACACTAGCGTAATCATTTGGAAACCCCCCCCCCCCCCCCCCTCGGCTGATTACGTAATATGTGAACGTCCCCTTATAATGGAAAATAATATACATATTTAGTTTTACAAATTGTAAGGTTTTCTGTATACAGTATACCTATCTCCCAAGATTCTTTTAATTACACTGACTGTCCCACGTAACCCTAACTAGAAAAGGAGGTGACGTCACGTGAGGAGGTGACGTCACGTGGGGAGGTGACGTCACGTGACGGATGGCACTGACACGTAGTACAAGAAAAATAAATATTTAAAAAATTATATGCAGTATCACTTACAACATTATGTAATCTGTTGACTGTTCAGGAGCTTTCTGATAACACTCGCTGGTTTCAAGATAAACAGCCTTAAGAGCGATTGCGGGCTTGTTTAATGGCTGTTTACTTCAAAACTCAGCTCAAGTCCATGGCGAGGAAGATAGCCCGTAACTATGGTAACATGAATATCTTGATACATAAAAACACTGATCAATCAACGCAAGATACCTTGTGATAAACTGAAACACCCGTTAGCCCGGCAAGTATTGTTAGTTTTAATGTTTAAATCAAATGTTCTACAACCTTACAAGTCACCTAACAAAAATCAATTTAATTTAGATCCACTCCGCAAGCATTCTCCACTCCATACCATATAACCATTGTCCAATCAGCATGAGGGATTGCTCATCTGTGAAGATTAGTTCAGCTAGACAAAATCACAAAAACCACGATAAGTAGAAGCAGTGACCGAAATAGTGGACACGTGATTAAAAAGTGGACATGTAACTCCGGATCTCAGCCCCTTCTGATCACCCTGCTTTAAATCAACATGTGCGATCGAAATTATAGTTATATAATTATGAATATATATGAATATTTATATAGCGACAGTCCGCTTAATTGGGTGTTAATTTATGTATTAAACATAATTTATGTAATAAACATATCATTGTTATTATCATTTGGTTAAAAATGTTTTTGTCTCTGAGTATGTATTAAGTGTGTTAGGAGGAAGGTTTTGTCGGGGGACGTATTATTTTCCGTTCATCATCATCATTTTATTCATTCTGAAGGCTTCCAGTTCCTGCGTGTATCGGACTTTATCGTCGTCAGCCATCTTTTGGTAGGGCGCTCTCTCGGCTTCCCCCATCTTCTGCCATCTTTCTCCTGAGATTATACATACTGATTAGTTATAAGAATACTGATTAGTTTATAATAATGGGAATAATTCAGGTTTTGAAACTTAGTAAACTCGATCCGGAGAAATTTATGGAGAAATGTTCGACATATTGATGATAACATGGAAAATGTCGCCCTCATGGAAACTGGAAAGTGGTAATTAGATAATTAGATAATATAATGAATTTAATAAAAAAATAATAATTTAACAAACCGAGTATTTTAGCAACAGCTCCAACTCTCAGCTCAGGGTGATCCTTGGTGATTTCGTGTCTTGTCAGGTTCGAAAAGAACATGAATCCAGTTCTGAAGTGATAGCTCAGATCAGATCAGAGTTCAGACGCTATTCTCATTTCACACTTATTTCATTCAGACTTTTTAACAAATTTTGGACAGTCATTACTGTTGTAATTTTTATACATATTGTAATTTTTATTTTCATTATCTTAAGAATTTATTTAAGGCTAAAGTCATTCATCAGCTAATAAATTTAATTATTCAGTAAGGTAATAATATAATTATAAATGACAATCCAACATAAAATTAAATAACAAACATATTACGACTTGTCCATAGTATGAGCTTAAATTGATCTGTGCCATCAGTGTTTAAGATATTATGTAGTATTTTAAAATTTTCGAAACGTCAAGTTGATAACATATGTCCTAAAACAAGTTTTCCTTTCTCAATAGTCCTTGTTTCAGTCTGCGGTGAAGTTTCCAAGTTAAGTTTCCAAGTTAAGTTTCCAAGTTAAGTTTCCAAGTTAAGTTTCCGCGCAGTCCGTTGCTGAGCAGACTTGCTCATTGCAAGTGCAGCAGCCACTGTAGCTGCTGCTCCCTTAAAACGTGTTCTGGCGGACATTGGTAAGGAGGGAGGCGGCACTTTCTGACACTTAGTAGCCGCTACAACCATCCTCCAGACGAACTCCCGCAGTTTCTTATCCAGGAAAAGGTAAACAGGAAGGTTATACCAGCAGCCTACAGAGACGAATCTAGCAGCAAGATGTCTTACAACCCTACCAGGAACTATTGTAGAGGTGGAGGAGACCAATATTACCGCACCGTACGGAAAGTAACAGAAAATGAAACCGCTGGTAACGAATATGGTGGTTTTAAGACGAATGGTTGGTTTGACTGAGTTGACAATAACATGGGCCAAGAGAGCGGTGTTAGTACACATTGTGATTATACAAGGTATTATAATGATAGTCAGAGCCAGGAGGGCTTTTGGGCGGGCTGATAATTGGGCCGGGTGAAGAACGTCAACAAAATCACAGACCCCGTATTGAGCATCACCGTCCACAAACTGTATATTCAGGTGCCCAGTGACATGGAACACCATCATATAGACAGGAACCAGGATAGTAAGACTCCAGACTAAACCAGTCACAACACCTGCTATAACTCTCTCGTTAACGTCACGTGATCTAAGAGGCATGCTGCATCTGAACAGTCTGTAGATGGAGAAACTCATGATGAGGAGGATGCTGGCAACCGCAGGGCCGTGTTTTATGTAGGAGTATAGGACACACCACGTGTGGGACATGGGCCAGTGTGCTCCATGTCCACCAATGTAGGATACAGATAGAGTCGAGGGGATGAAGAGGGCGGAGATCAGATCAACTACTGCTAAGTTCTTCATTATCGTTACACTGACCAGGTCAAGTTGAATGGCTCGTGGGTAGGTGAACATAGTGTAGAGAAGGAGAATGTTGCCCGTAATACCAAGAAGAGAGCTTGTTCCTTCCCATATCCCGTACAGAGCGAACTCGGTTATTCGTGAAGTTGAAACGTTCATTTCCTTGGCACGATCAGGGTTATATTGATAACGAGTCCGAAGTATTTATGCAAATAATTAACATCACGACTTAATATAACCACACAGATAAACTGCCCGGAAAGACATAAATCAAACTGTTTAATTATTGAACGGAGATTTAGGGCAGGTTCAAATAAATAAAACCGGAGCCGTTGGTGCCCTCTAATTCTCATTGGTCGCCGTTTATTAGACTGTCGTCCATTTATTACGGTTAATTAAACTTGCACCTGATTATAATAATGTGTAGCAGACAGTAGTGGAGGCAGTGCAGTGGAGAGGCAGCCTCCAAATAGGGGATGGAGGCACTACTAGCAGTGCAGTGGAGAGGTAGCCTCCAAATAGGGGATGGAGGCTCTACTAGCAGTGCAGTGGAGAGGTAGCCTCCAAATAGGGGATGGAGGCACTACTAGCAGTACAGTTGAGAGGTAGCCTCCAAATAGGGGATGGAGGCACTACTAGCAGTGCAGTGGAGAGGTAGCCTCCAAATAGGGGATGGAGGCACTACTAGCAGTGCAGTGGAGAGGTAGCCTCCAAATAGGGGATGGAAGCACTACTAGCAGTGCAGTGGAGAGGCAGCCTCCAAATAGGGGATGGAGGCACTACTAGCAGTGCAGTGGAGAGGTAGCCTCCAAATAGGGGATGGAGGCACTACTAGCAGTGCAGTGGAGAGGTAGCCTCCAAATAGGGGATGGAAGCACTACTAGCAGTGCAGTGGAGAGGCAGCCTCCAAATAGGGGATGGATGTAACTCTGTATTTCCTAATTAGATGACACAGATTTGTGCATGTTAAACCGGAGAAAGGCTTCATAAGTTGGAGACTTGATTTTAACAGCAGGCTAGAGATGTGCCAAATTCTTGCATGTTATTTTATTCAACATAAGCTTCCTACTGTGCTATGTGCGCACCAAATGAAATTAGTGACTATTGACTACAGCTTTATAAATGCTATTAGAAATTGAGAACAGCAAGTAATGTTGACTAGACAAATCGGCAATTGTTTTATCTTCCATCCTCAGACAATTCAAATAAGTTTACCGAATAATTTGGCTATATTCGTAGTTAAAATAAGTATTTGCATGTCCCTAACCAGGCCGAGAAAGTATAATGTTTGGTAAAATAAGGGCTCGGAAAAGGCAGCACTAAGGGCGTTGAAACATATCAGTTTATAAAGACCACATTGAAAATTGGACAGTAATTAAATTCTCAAAGTAAATTTGTTTACGGTGTGAAGACACATTAAATCCCCATTACAATGGCGCATCTGTGCAGTAACTCTTTTAATTGAAATTGTAACAGTAACTGTATGATGGAATTACAACTGCACTGCCACGATGCCTGCTGGCTGTCGAGGGAAATGTTTGGATTCATATCCGGGAAGTTATTTAGATTTTAGAAGGGATGATATTAACGAATCACCTTAATTAAGTTAATTCTTAGGGCCAACATTTTAGAAGCAGCTGTCGAGGCAGAGGATAAAGGAATGTTCTGGTATAAAGCAATAAAATTAGTGATAAGATGATGAAAGATTTCTGTTTGTTTTCTAATAACCAGTATTTGAATAGTAATTAACTAATAATACCAGATTTATCTCCACACCTTGGTTACAATATATCATATGGTATTTTACTGCTAGACTGGAACATCCAATAAAGTACAAAGGACTAAATGATCTTTACCTAAACCTCTTCAGTTTCTAAATAAGTACGAGCATTTTATATCGCGAGATACAGAATATTGAAAAACTTACGTAGCACGTTTCGGTTCACCGGGCTCCTTGACTCTTTTCCTCTTCTTCTTTTTACCGTTAGCAAATTCAGGAGCAGGCACATATCTGGACATTTCATCTTCAAATCTTACACCGTCTTTTTCAGCCTCCAATACGTATGGAATCTTCTTGTCGTCCGTCAAGGCTCCCCATGTTGCGCTTAGGTTCGTCATAAATACTGAAACGGAAAGTCACGTTATAAATTATCTGATTATGATATCAACCAGTCAGTTTAAGCAGTGATCAAAGGGACTAAAAGCTTTAAGGGGTATTACACAAAGATCATAGAGTATGCTAGACCAATGCGCGCCGCGCACTTTACATCACGGTAACTGCTTTAATGATGTGCTTTCATTGACAAAATTTCCAAATTTCTACAAAGTACACAGTTACTACAACTTTAAAATGCTGTTTTTTACGACGCGCGGCATGGGACACACATTGTAAATGGCGGGCGAAACAACGCAGGTCAAGCAAAGAACAAACAAGCTGGGATTTATTATGTTGCAGTTATGGTATACTTATCGAATACTTATCTTAACTGGGAATAAAAGATTTTACTGTCTTAAAAAACAAAAGAAAAGTTCTGGAATTTTCCTAGGACAAACCTCCGAGGTCAACTTTAGTCTCTGGATTCAGTCTCTTGAATTCCATCATTTGTTCGCTCCTGAAAACATCGAAGGCAGACTTTTTCTTCTTAGGCTTGTTAGGATCCTTCATAGGTTTGGCGGTTCGTTGAGGGGGAACATACGGGTAATAGCCTGAGGCGACGGAAGCCATCGCTAAAAAGAAACTTGGTTATTGAAATCTTACTTTATTAAACCAAACTTAGGATACAGCAGAGAGGACAATTATAAAGAAAAACATCGCAATAATATCAACCGTAAATTATTGATTATGAAAATACACAAAAACTGAAGAAATGATTAATTTCTCAATAAGAGGTTCATTATAGCTTAGGGGGGGGGGGGGGGGGGGGGGGCCAACGCCCTAAAAGGCCCTAAAAAGCCCTGATTTCTAGGGCCCTTTTTAGATTTTCGATGCGTCTAAGGCCTTTTAGGGCCCTAGAATTAACTTCAGTTTTATCAAGTCTAATATATGCCAGATACTTTAATGATATTAACGAAACTAATTTCACTGTAAATATCAAATATTGCTATGTATTATATTGTATATCACTAGATAGGGGGGGGGGGGGGGGGGGGCAACGCCCCAAAAGGCCCCGATTTCTAGGGCCCTTTTTGGATTTTCAATATGTGTAGGGCCTTTTGGGGCCCTAGAATTAACTTCAATTTCATCAAGTTTGATATATGCTAAGTGCTTTAATGATATTATCTGACTACTTGCACAGTACTTTTATGTTTATTTGAGTGTATTTACATGGAGATTATGGTCCATAAACACTATCAAATAGTGGTCAGGGTCAAAAGGCCCCGATTTCTAGGGCCCTTTTCGGATTTTCGATGCGTCTAGGGCCTTTTAGGGCGTTGGCCCCCCCCCCCCCCCCCCCCAGCTTACATAATTTAACATTTATAATACACTTTGTACAGTACCTAATATTATATACATCTTAAAAACATCTTAAACTTGTGACCAACACTATCATTCGACCGGAAACGCCGATTTTAACAGATATCTGAAATATAAACATTGAACTTAAGTGTTTTACCATAAAATAACTGAATAAACGTAAATACTAGATAAAATATTTTCATGGTTGTCGGGCTGCCTGTTCCTCCATTGCTGCCATAACTCGCTGATCTATAATTGTAAAACCTCCCAGTTTCACGGAAAGTTCCTCCAATGGCAGATTTTTAGCCCACGCCACGAAATCTTCTTCGTCAATTACTGAAGTTCCTGAGGTAAATTTAAACATTTCATTGTCACATTTAGTAATGTCAAGCAAGGAATGTTTATGTTATGAATATAATCTAATAATGTCTTCTTACTGTCTTGCATATAAAAACATGCAAATTTTTAGATTCTTAAATTCATTAGTATTTGATGATTACTTGCGCAAGCATATAGTTTAACAGCGACAGCAAGTGGTCTAAAGTTTATGAATGATTGACTCATACGGAGAGAAATATGATTGGAAAAGTGCCAATATTATCACAAAAGAATAATGTGGATCAAAGAAAAGGCTAGTAATCTCCATAACAATTAAACAACCAAGCCAACTATGTTAGATCGGATTAGGAACATTTCTGTGTGTGCGAATATAAACAAGAGGCCTATTATACACAACATGAGAAAATGGAGAGTTGAGCGTGAACAATCACTTTCAGTTCTAGTTCCTTGTTAAAAGTATTGCAATACAGTTCACTGAACAAACAAACAAACATGTTTAAACAATCAACTACTCTTAACAAGTTATTGGCAGTAATTTGATTTCTAACCTAAACAAGCGAGGGAGGCAGGCATTTGATTTCTAACCTAAACAAGCGAGGGAGCAGGCATTTGATTTCTAACCTAAACAAGCGAGGGAGGCAGGCATTTGATTTCTAACCTAAACAAGCGAGGGAAGCAGGCATTTGATTTCTAACCTAAACAAGCGAGGGAAGCAGGCATTTGATTTCTCACCTAAACAAGCGAGGGAGGCAGGCATTTGATTTCTAACCTAAACAAGCGAGGGAGGCAGGCATTTGATTTCTAACCTAAACAAGCGAGGGAAGCAGGCATTTGATTTCTAACCTAAACAAGCGAGGGAGGCAGGCATTTGATTTCTAACCTAAACAAGCGAGGGAGGCAGGCATTTGATTTCTCACCTAAACAAGCGAGGGAGCCAGGCATTTGATTTCTCAATTAAACAAGCGAGGGAAGCAGGCATTTGATTTCTAACCTAAACAAGCGAGGGAGGCAGGCATTTGATTTCTAACCTAAACAAGCGAGGGAAGCAGGCATTTGATTTCTAACCTAAACAAGCGAGGGAAGCAGGCATTTGATTTCTCACCTAAACAAGCGAGGGAGGCAGGCATTTGATTTCTTACCTAAACAAGCGAGGGAAGCAGGCATTTGATTTCTTACCTAAACAAGCGAGGGAGGCAGGCATTTGATTTCTTACCTAAACAAGCGAGGGAAGCAGGCATTTGATTTCTAACCTAAACAAGCGAGGGAAGCAGGCATTTGATTTCTCAATTAAACAAGCGAGGGAGCAGGCATTTGATTTCTCACCTAAACAAGCGAGGGAGGCAGGCATTTGAGCGGCTATCATTCTGATCTGATCTAAATCCTCAGTGTCAGGTCGGACCGCTCTAATAACCTCGGTTACTGTCTCAGCGGTCAGTGGATCTCCATTATTCAGTATCTGGAATAGAGTCTGCAGTCGCTCTTCCATAGTCATGGTTTGCCAAATGTACAGGATTCGACAGAAATCTGTGAAACTGAAATTTTAAACCATTACATTGTTGAATATTTTAAATACCGCAAGGTTGAGTATTTCATTAGCCACGGGTTACACTAGTATATTATATAATATGCATATGACTCAAGTCTAGTGTGGGAGGGAAAGAGCTGTGACATTTCCCGTTTCCAAATGATAATACCCAAACAGTCCAAAATAAACATGACAGCAGATAAGGCGGTGTACCTTATTTCACCGTCAGCCGTGGTGGGAATGCTATCAATAACTCGATACATGATAACATCACCTTCATACTCCGCACGCAACCGATCTACTGACAAAATACCGTCCTCGTCACAGCCCATCTCGCTCCATCTCTGCCACTGTCAGGTGGTATTTATAAGGTTGTTATAATGTGGTTACTTCACACTGATTTAAGGAACTGTAACATCATCATGGGTCACAGCAAACAATCATCATTTTCTAAGAAACTTACAAACAAACACAATAGCGAACTGCAAAGATCACCACTGATCGACTAGACAACATAATCTCCAATAACATCACCTTCATACTCCGCACGCAATTCAACACACTTACCTCTCTCAGCACAGCTACAAAAGACAGTTTGCTCTGGCGACTTATTTCAGCGATGCTTTCCTTGGGGTAGTGTATCTTAATTAGGGCCTCACCTTTCTGCGAGGATGCACCCGCTCCCATCTACTTTATCATCTACTTTATCATCTACATTATCTAGCTAGAATATGGGATACGGTTACTGAACACTGGTATTTTATCATTACTAAATCATAAAGACATCACCAACAAACATTTAACAATAAAATCATGATTTGAGATGTCGGGAAAACACCTCCAAAGCAATAAAGACCTCGCTAGTACCTCCTTTACAACTCTACTATAATGTAATGAAATAACACGTCCGTATAACACACTAACAACAACCCAGCTGTAAATGTGACAGTATTAGCCGGGGTTGAAGTTGTGTGGAAGTTAAGTCACTGAGAGAGCCCAGCTGTAAGTAAACGTGCGGCGTTAGATGTGATGTCACGTGACATGTATTAACACGTGACATGTAGTAAACGTGTAGTATAGTCTTGTTGCAGGGAGTTGTGGTAACTTGTGTGGTATCTTCTGATATCTGTATTATATGCGGGAGGGGGGGGGGGGGGGTAACAGGCAGAGGTATTATAACGTCTGTAGTACAGCTTGTATGGGGGGGGGGGGGGGGGGGGGGGGGGGGGGGGGGGGGGGGGGGGGGGGGGGGGGGGGGGGGGGGGGGGGGGGGGGGGGGGGGGGGGGGGGGGGGGGGGGGGGGGGGGGGGGGGGGGGGGGGGGGGGGGGGGGGGGGGTAGGCATGAGGTATTAAACGTCTGTAGTACAGC